CCCCTCTCACTACCTAACCAAGTGAGATGGTTTTACCGCGGTAATATGACCAAACAACCAAGCTACCCCTAGCCCTCAGACAGACTCAGCTCAGCGCGTCCCTAAGCGACGCTTAGCTCGGTCAGTGTTCAACTATACCTCGGATCTGAACACTATGACCGAGCTAATTATTACCACTCCGACCGAGGTAACTATGACCATACTCAGACCGAGTTAACAGAAGCAAGGTCCAATTGCTAAGTCTTTTTCACTACGGCCCATAGATCGGTCCACTACAATATCTGGGCCTAGCTCGGCCCTAAATGCACATAAAAACTCCCTCTCATTATTAAAAACTGTTAATTAACTTGATAATTTATTAATAAAGGGTCATTTACTATGCAATTAGAAAGTTGAAGGGACATGATGTAATTTTTAAAATTACAAAAGATAATTTATATTTTAATCCAAATTTAAAGGGTCTATTTGTAATTTACCCAATCTAATTTTATGAATACAAAGCTCAACAAAAGAAATATGAAATTTATCTATGTTCTCCTGTTCGAACCTTGGACACATCCTCGTAATTAGAGGTGGCAAATGGGCGGTTATAAGTGGGTTAAAATAGGTTATACATTTAAAGCAATCTAACCAAACCCATTCATTTAATAAATGTGCTCAAACAGGTTGAGTGAAAGTAGATACGGGTTAGACGATTGAATCCAACAAACTCATTTACTTCCTGCTTTTATCTTTTTATTTTTCTTTTTTTAAAAAATTTTATTTTAAGAGAATATTATTAAAAAGTCCAATCTAAAGAGGGTATAAGGCATTAGGTCTAGTGGATATCTTTTGTTGGTGAGAGATCCACAATTTATGAAATAATTTGATGAGAAATCCTTTTATTGTTTTGGAAAACATTTTATTTTCAATTTTACCCTTTATCTATCTGTTTAATTTTTTTGACTATTTGTTCAAATATTTATTTATCTGTTTAATTTTTTGAATATTTGTTCAATTTTTTGCCCTTATCTGTTCAAATATCTGTCCACATTTTAGTATCTGTTAAAATTATCTTTTCAAAAAATTCTATCGGTTAAAATTCCTATCTGTTGAGATTCTATTTGTTCAAATTATCTTTTTAAAAAATTCTTTCGGTTGAAATTATTTGTTAAAAAATTTATCTGTTCAAATTCTCTCTATCTCTCTTCCCAATATCTGTACAAATAAAATTCAAATTCAACAACAACAACAATTTTTTTTTATCTGTTCACTGATTAAAGAACACAAGACCAAATTGAAAACTATTTGTTCACTTCAAACATATCTGTGTTTTTGATATGTTCAATATCATCTTCTTCATAGAACAAACAAAAAAAGAAAGAAAAAAAATTTAAACAAATATAATTACAACAACAACAACAACCAAGATAAAAAATAACCAAAAAAAATTAAATATAAGAATTTTTTTTTAAATAGTTATTCATCCGTTGTAACAGGTCTAAGTCAATAACAAATTTTGAACAATCCATTTTAACAGATCTGAGCCACCCAAGATCAAAAGCTTCAATTTTGAACATTCATTTTAAAATATCAGATCTTAGTCAACCAAGATCAAAATATCAGACTCATACAGACAAACAAATTAGTGCTATGTACCAATGTACCATCAAACCCTAGATTTCTCACCATGAAATCATTTTTCTAATCTTGTGTATTGGACTCAAATAGAGAATACTTGAATGTTCTTTCTTATTTGCAAACCCAAGATTTCTCACCATGAAATAAGAAAATTATTCGAAAGGAATGTGTGTGTGTGTGTGTGTGTGTGTGTGAGAGAGAGAGAGAGAGAGAGAGTTCATTTTTATACTTTTGTTGTGTGTTGCACACTCTCTTTTCAATAGATAACAACGAAGCGGTCAGCAGTGGTGGACGACGGTGGACAGAGGACAGTGGATGACGGATGAGGACAACGAAAGAAGAGGGTGTGAGGTCTGAGAGTTGAGAAGACTGAGAGAGAGAAATATGAGATCTAAGATCTAAATGAGAGAGAGAGAGAGAGGAATAGTTGTAGAGAGATGGGATACAATATATATATTTATATATATGGGTATTTTGGTCATTTCGTCTAGACATGTCTTTATTGCCAAAGTATTTTAGAGTGTGCACTTTTGGCCAAACAAAATTAAAATTTGGATTTATAGATCGAGTGCCCTTATTTTAAACAAATTACTTATTTTTTTATTTTTATTTTTTAAAAAAATTACTTATTTTTTATTTTTAAATTATTATTTTTACAACGACGAAGGGGGTGCCGAAGCACAAGTGGTGGTGGTATAGTAGTGGTGGTGGTGGAGTGGCGACGATGGTAATGGTAATGGTGATGTTGTAGCAATGGTGGTGGAAGTGGTAGTGTCGGTAGTAGTGGAAGAGGAGGTGGTGTTGGTGGTGTGTTGACGGCGGTGGTGGAGTGGTGGTAGTAGAGGATGAAGAGATGGTGGTCATGGTAGTGGTGGTGGTGATGGTGGTGGTGGTGGAGAAATAGAGGTAGTGGTGGAGTAGTAGTGTAGAGGAGGTGGTGATGGAGTGGCGAGGGTGATAGAGTGGGAGTGGGGGTGGTGTGTCAGCGTTGGTGGTGGCGGCGACGGATTAACGGTGGTAGTAAAGAGGGTGGTGGTGGTGGTGGTGGTGGTGATGCTAGTGAAGTGGCGGTAGTGGAGGTGGATTGGTGGTATAAGTGGTGCCTATTTAGATCGGCTTAAATGGGTACCCATGTCCAACCTATGTAAACCTAATTTTAATTGGGTTGACAATGAGCAACCCGTTCAAGCCTATTTATTGATTGAGTAGGTCTATGCAAGTTTTAAATGAGCATAATTGGATAGGCTCATCATGGGTTTGGGTCGAGTTTCCTATAACTACTTATAATCAATACACATATTTGAGTGGGTGATTCTATTTGCATCCAAAAAACTATTCAGTACGTTATATTTGAGTGAGTGATTCTATTTGCACTTAAAAAATTATTTAATATGCCCAATTTCTTAGTACTCTCTATCAAATTATTTAGGGTAATAATTTACTCTTAGTACACTCTATATTTTTTTCACAAATTATCCTTCAGGATGATTTAATAATTCGTGATACACTCAAATAATAAACAAATCAATTCAAAAAAGAATTCCTCTCTTTCTTCATCTTTTCTTAGCTATGGTACTCCTCCACTCTCATCAATGACAAATACTGAAGAAGAAGAAGATGAAAAGTAGGTACGAAGAATGGAGGCAATACAAATCCACCAAGTCATTACTTGCCTTCGTACTACCTAGATTCAATAGAGACGATGTGGACTTTGTTGGTTCCACTAATTGTGGTGGCTAACGTGGGTATGTTCGTTCCTATCATGTTCGTCAACAATTGCCGAAAAAATAATTTTGGTTTTGAAGGGGGTTGCGTTGCCAAATTTCTCGATAGATTCTCATTCGAGCCTCTCAGGGGAAACCCTCTCTCCGGCCCCTCTTTTTCTACATAATGTTTGCTTGCATACCCATTTTGGAAAACTGTGTTAATTGTTGTTATTTTGAATCTGGTTTTGAGTGTGATTCATTGATATATTCATCAACTTTTGTTGAAATTTCTGGTTAAGAGAATCCATTCCAATTGCAGATTGAAGAGAGAAGATTTGTAGAGACAAAAAGTGAAGAAGGAGATTGAAGAGAGATAGAAGGTTTGTGAGTTTGTAGAGAGAAAGAGAGGAGAAGAAACAATAATGTTGATGATAGTGGTGAGTTTTTGTGGGGTGGATTAGAGTTTTGGAGGGAAGAAAAAGATGAAGGGAAAATAATTGAAACTTAAGGAAGAAGACGAAAATGTTTGAATATGAAGAATACATATAAGTGATTAGGGTATACTATGAGGGGAAAAAAAAAAGAAAGAAAAAAAAGTTAGAGTTTAATGTGTATTGTCTTGATTGGTAAATTTATATTAGGGTATATATACTCTAATAGAAAATTCAAAATTTTAGTTTCTATTTTATAATAAAAACTAAAATTTCAAAATTTTAGTTAAGTGTACTGAGTTACTATTTGGATGTAAATAATCACCTTATTTGACTATATGTAGAATAAAATTATAAAAACAAAAAGAAAAAAAAAAGCAGATCACAGCTCTTTTCATTCAAATATTTTAGGCATATAATACATGTATCTGAACATTAATAAAAGGCGGAAAATGAGGTGAATTATTGGTCTATGAAGATTGGCTACTTATAAAGGTGAACTATGCAGATTTCGAAAGTCACCAAACAAAATTTTGCAGCGAATGAATCATCAAGATGATCTGGATGTATAGCATAAATTGAAGAAAACAAAATTGTAATAATCTACTTAAACTATTTGGCAAAATATATCAAGATTGACCAATAGAAAATCCAATCATATAGTTTATTTCAGTACAAAACTAGCTTTTGAAACTAACTGCATTAACATTAGCAACGGTTTAATAGCTAGTCACAGCAAAACAAATTTTTTATTTTGGTTTTGGTTGTGGTCAATGAAACAATTCTATATGTCACTACAGGAATTTTGAGTTTTAACGGCGTTTTAAAAACGCCGGTAAAATCCTGAAAAACGCCATAAAAGAGTACAGCAACGTTCAATATTTTCGTCGCTGATACGGCCGTTGCAATAGCTTTACAACGTTTGGAAAACGTCGCTAAAAACATTAGGCGGCGTTTTTGAAAACGCCACAAAAACTTTGACAGCCGCTTACAATTCCGTCACAAATAACTACTGATTCTTGAGTGAATTGCTCATAGTGTTACTCTTGCACAAAAAGAACTGTATGTGCATTAGGCAGGATCCCAAGCAGAATATATATAATAACCTTTTGCTTACTCTGTAATTAGATCGTAAACTTTTAAAGATATAGAACCAGAAAAAAGCAACAAGTACCAGAGAGTGTAATACATTCATGATAACTAACAAATTAAAATCATTAAAACTAACAATGAGCATCACATACCTGAAAGCATAATCCATGTTTGCTAATTTCTTCTTCCACCTTGTCTCAACATTTTCAGCGTTTTATGCTTTTTCCTTTCAACAATTCTTACAAACAATTTTGGTTTTCCAGTTAAGAACATGAGAAATCCAATAAACAATCCCAATGCCAGTCCACTGCCATACCCCATCACCACGGCTTCCCAAGTAAATCCACTTACAAAATTTGAGTCATCCTCCTGTTGTAATAGCACCCCTGGCTGAACTTGTGATTGATTATCTTTACATTCCTTTGACAATGGAAACCCACATAATCCGGAGTTCCCAACATATGAATCATTTCCAAATGTATCAAATTGTTTGCCCCGAGGTATGGGTCCATTGAGATGGTTCCATGAAAGGTTAAAGACCCCAAGAAATGTCAAACTCAATAAATGGTTAGGAATTTTCCCAATAAGCTGGTTTGAAGACAGATCTAGTGATTCCAGCTCTGTCAAGTCTCCTAAAGATGATGGAATAGGGCCCGTAAGGCTATTATGAGATAAATTAAGCACTATGAGAGAAGTAAGCCTTCCGATCACATTTGGAATATCTTCACTGAATTTGTTAGATGATAAATCAATTGCTGTGAAAAGAGTAAAAATTCTCGTTAAATCAATATATGACCCCTTCATTGTCACTGCAATAGAAGCTTGATAATACGATCTAACACTCAAATATTTTTCATTTGGCATAGTCTTATTCCTCATAGCTTCGAAAAATTTGAAATATCTCCCTGGCAAATAACCAGTGAACTTATTGTGGGAGAGGTCAACAATTCGGAGTTTGGGAAAAGAGAGGTTTGGCTTGGAATTGTCTATTGGACCATGAAATTTGTTGGATCGCAAGACAAGAACCCGTAACTCTGGAAGTGTCCCCAACCAGTATGGAAAAGTGTCATTTATCTTGTTGTTTCCGAGGTCTAGAACTTTTAACTGTCTACAATTGGTTAAGGATTGTGGAACTGGTCCTTCAAACTGATTTCCATTCAAATTAAGAATTTCCAACTGATTACCCTTTCCAAATATCATGGGGATGTTCCCCTGAAAGGCATTGAACTGCAGATCTAATACAAATAGAACGTTGCTGAAGTATCCCAAACATTGTGGAATTGCACCACTATCTTGGAATCTTCCCACGAATTTCATTGTTGGAAATGTCTAGTTGTTCGACATTCTCTAAGGCTTTAAAGAAATCAGGGAATTCCTTTATCTTGCAAGAAGTCATACGGAAGAACCTAAGATTAGGCAAGGTATTGTTGATATTGTTGATGGTGCTCACTGACAGAATATTGTATGACAGATCAAGACTATCAAGATTTTTTAGATTTAAGAATGTTTCTAGCTCCACAACACCACTAAAATTATTTGAGGAAAGAACAAGTTTGGTCAAATTCACAAGATTTGAAATTGATTGTGGAATGGGGCCATGTAGTTCATTATGACTCAAGTCAATGTACATCAATTTTGATTTATGCTGGAACTCAGGAATTTGGCCAGTTAGTCGATTACTACCCAGGTTTAATTCTGTCAATGATGGAAGATTCAACAACCAAGATGGTAGTGTCCCATTCAGTGAGTTATTGTGCAAGTCAAGTGCTTGTAGGTTGTGTAGCCCACTCATGATGGAGGGAATGGGACCCATCACTGCACTACTTGATATATCTAAAATACCAAGTTTTGTCAGGTTGGCTACCCCACATGGAAATGGACCGTTGAAATTGTTATCTCCAAGTGCTAAAACCTCTAGCTTTATCAGCTTACCGATAAAATTAGGAATTTTTCCGTCAAGATTATTTCCAAAAAGATTAAAGTTAATGAGTTGATTGAGATTTGAGAGAGTAAATGGGATCTGACCATTGAAACTATTTCCCCGCAAGTATAGATGAGTGATCTGTGTAAGGTTCCCGAGTGATTCAGGAATGGACCCGGAGAATTTGCAATCGCTGAGATCCAAGTAATTCAAAGACTTGAGATAGCCAATTGAATCAGGCAATTCTCCAGAAAAACCCGAAGACCCGAGATACAACGTCTTGAGGGAACTACTACTACTCCAATTTACTTTGGGTAAATTACCAGTGAGATCATGGTTGCCTCCTAAAAAGAGAATTTGCAAGTTTGGAAGGTGAAAAATGCTATCCAGTAATTTCCCATGCAACCCGGTGAAAGTAAGATCGAGATATGTCAAAGAAGACATATTCGTCAAAGACATTGGTACAACTGAAGATATGTTTACAGAAGAAAGGACAAGTTCTTGCAATTGGGTTTGGTTTTTGAGCATCATTCTGAAATTGTGCGGTTCAAGTCTTAGTGGTTCACTACAGGAGAGATCGAGTGAAACTAGGTTGGACAGGTGGCGAATTTCTGACGGGATTGAGCCTGAAAAACTGGAATAAGATAGGTTGAGATGTGTCAAACTGGCAAATTGACCAAATGCTGATGGAATGTGGGAGTAATTGAAGTGATTGAAGGCGAGATTGAGGTTTTGGAGGTGAGAGAGTTGGAAGAGGCTACTGTTAGGATGGATACTGCCGTAGAGCTGGCTACAACTGAGGTCAAGCCCAATCACGTGACCCGTCAGACCATCACACCTGACTCCTTCCCACGAACAACAATCAATACAACTCTCGTTCCAAGATGACATCTTTGGAGAAGCCAAATCGCCACACCCCAAAGAAGCAGAGCTTTCTAAAGTAAACATATGCTTGAATTGCAACAATGCAAACATGCAACCCGGTGAAAGTAAGATCGAGCAAACCCCAAAGAAGCAGAGCTTTCTAAAGTAAACATATGCTTGAATTGCAACAATGCAAACCTCTGGTCATGTGGACACAAATGCTGTGTACAAGTAGAAAAAGAAGAGACAGATGATGAACAAGAAACCTGATGATGTTGCATGAAAAACAAAAGGAATTGGAACAACCATATCAATCGCTCCATTTTTGGTTTCGTTTTGTTGTAAAGGAGGAGAAACAACTACGAAGGATTAAGAGAAGGATGAGAGGAAGTGGGTACTGATTTACTAGTCTAATTCATTCCTTTATATAGGAAAAATTTTAGGATAAATTATTAATAGGTCTTAATGGTTGGACTTAATTTTCATTAAATCTTATTAAAAATTAATTCAAATAAAATTATCGCTAAAAATTGATAATTAGTAATATTTTTTTATTATGATTTTTATAAATTGTCGTTTAAACTTACAATTAGTGACTTTTTTATGATAAAATTTTCAAACTGTCACTAAAATTTGAAAATTAGTGATTTTTTTGTGATGATTTTTTTCAAACCGTCGCTAAAACTTATATTTAATAACATTGTTGTAAAAAAAAAAAAAAAATTTAACTCTTGCTAAAAATTAACAATTAATAAATTTTTAATAGTGTTTGATGAAAAATGTTGTTAATTATGACCTATTAGATAATAAATCCACATAATAGGACGTACACCAAAATTTTATGGTAGGCACTTTGTTAAAAGGTGTGTATTACATGCTGTTATGAGTATTTGTAGTATATTAATTATGAATTATGTTGGTGTTTAGTTATGAGATTTTGTTAGTACTAATTATGAATTGTGTTAGTATTTAGGTCTCTTTCTGACCGAACCCCTCCTTTTTGTTAATTATATTACAAAATTAATAATTACACAACAACACAGAAAATAACTGCATTGATTAACATTTTTTTTTGGCTATTTAATTTTCTAAAGATTCTTTCCACAAATATTGTATTTTTCAGTATATTTATATTAGGTGTATCTAATAATTAAATAAATTGCTTAGAATATTAAAATAATTCAGTGCAAAAAAAATACGAAAAACTTAAAATTTTAATTTTCTGATAAGTGAATCCTGAAAAACCAAACCAAACAAACTGATTACATTTCACAAATTACAACATAACATTTTCATAAATTAATAGTTTTTTTATTTATGATAACTTTTTTGGAATACAAAATTGGTGAAGTCCAATATTTGATTTATTTTTAAATATTTTTTGGGGAAAATAGAGTTTTGCAAAGAATTTGGTATTGATGTGTTCATGAGTTTTGAATGAAGATTTGAAAAGAGTTTTGAAATATTTACAATTATCAGGGAAGTTGTGAAAATAGTTTCGTAATGAGTTTTGGAAAGACCTTTTTTTGAAGTTGTGAAAATAGTTTCGTAATGAGTTTTGAAAAGACCTTTTAAAAAAAAAATTAATACAATTATTACATTCCACAAATTACAAGAAAACATTTTTGTCAATCAAATTGTAATAATTTTTTTTTTAATGAGTATTTTTTCAAAATACAAAATTGGTGATGTCCAATTTGTACATTTTCTGTTTATAAAATATTTTTACATATTAAAATCGGTGAAGTTCATTATATGAAGTCCAATATTATGTGGCAACAACCCCTTATTTCCCATGCATATAGGTTACATGCTGCTAGCCCTCTTATGCACACTTTACCTGGCAGCATGCACTATAACATATAAGAATTTTAGAGACCAAATGTTTTGGTTTATAAAAGTGAAAATTTTGTTACAAAAGACATTTAGGGACCAATTTCTATTGTCACACGGATAGTCGCTAAAAGATCGTCCCGAAAAGTCAAAAACAAGGCTTTATCAACAAAATTTTGAAAATGTCGCTAATAAATAGGATTTTAGGAACAAAATAATTTGATCTCAAAATGGTTTGTTTTTTGAGACAAAAAATTTGGTCCCAGAAGAATAATAATTCATCACTAATGTCCAATTTTCATTACTTAAAATATAATGACACATTTCACAAGAAAAATATTTGGTGCCAAAATTTTTTTTTTGTCTCTAAAACTTTAATTTTTTGTAGTGATGTTAGGTAAATTCACTCTCTCACCAATTGAACAAGAAGTCACTTTTGAAGTGCAAAAATGTCAATTCACTCATTTTTACTATATATTATTTTGTTTCACATCTTTTCATAAACGTGATGACCGGGAGTCTTGTTAACGATTCGTTTTGTTGTATTTGGAAACTTGTTTCAAATCATTGCATTCATTTATTTCTGTGTCGAGTTTCACATGTTTCGGGAGATGCAAGGTTGGGTCCTGAGTGGCTTGGCTTGAGCTGAAGAGTTTCCTGGCTGTAAGGGTAGAGCCGCACGTGCGAGGCCTTGGGTCGCACGTGCGGGAAGGGGGCCGAACGTGCGGGAATCAGGGGAATTTCTAGGTTGCCTACTGCATTATATGCAGGTGCGGGAGGAGGTGCGGGGTAGGAGCGCCACACGTGCTGGGTGAGTACCGCACATGCGGGAGGCATGCTCTGTACGTGTGGGAGTTGTTGAATCCGAATTTTTCTGCTTTTCTCTCTTCTTGGACTGTGTGTATCACTTTTTACACATCTCTCTCTCTCTAAGCACCATTTTCTCCTCCTTCTCTCTACATTTCCTACATCAAACCTCACTAGATCTTTGATTTCTCCAAACCCATAAATGTTTTGACCTTAGTTCGTTGATTAAAGTTGGAAAACTCTCCAAGGACTTCGTTTTGTGCGGTGGAGATTGAATTTCAATACCCTTGAATTTGAGGGTTTCTTCTCTCTTCTTCACCAAAGCTTGAGGTAGGGATTTTCTTAGAGCTATATATATATATATATCTTTGCAAGATCTATATGATTTTCGAAATCATCTTTCGATAACTTTGAAAATTGATTGTTGATTCAAGAAGTTGAGTGATTTTGAAAGTGGGTTTGTCTATTGTTCTTTTAAAATGATTTTATGGGTTATGATCTTCATTGATTGAAGAAAAGATGATTTTGAAAAGGTTTCTTTCAAAAGATTCATATTATTGTATACAAAATGATAATTCTTCTTAGCATATGAGAATTATTGGATTTTTGGAATCTATTGTTTATATATATATATATATAAAATCATGAAATGACAAATTGTTGAGAACACATGAGATGTGGAATTGTTGTTACACTTGGATAGTTATTAAATTTCTATGTGATATGTCGAGATGTATTGGAAAGGAAAGTAGAAATTGTGATCACAAATGAAACATTTGTGTGGAAATTTTGTAAATGGTAAGATGTTACATCGCATGGATAATTATCACATTGCATGGTTGATTATTGCATTGCATGGAATATTGTTGCTTTGGCACTTCAATACCTTGCTTGTTATAAATATTGAATTGGGATTTGAAATTTTGCATTGAGAAATAAATATTGTGAAACGAGAATTATTGAAACATTTTGGGGATAAATACGTTGGTAAGTCCGGATAGGAGCTGTAGATGAAATTGATTAAGTTGGCCTGAGTGTTTGGGGTGAAAGACCGAAAACACGCACGGAGGAGGCATCACGTACCTTTTGGTTAGCTACTAGTGAAGTGGGGATTTGGTAGTGCTAGTTATGCCTACTTGCAGACACCAACCTAGTGATTACCTAAGTCATATTTACCGCCGCTTAAACTAAATTGAAAATTTCTAAATTGTTGAGATTTTAAGTTATTATTGAGCATGATGATTTTCAAATAGATGAAAATGTGATTTTTTTTTCAATAGGCATAGCATAACATGTGCATTTTATTTTGTGAAGCTTGTATAAAATGTATATACTTTATTAAGAATTTCTTACTGAGCTTTATGCTCACCCATACGAGATTTTGGTGCAGGAAAAGACGTGGTGATCCCACCAAGTTAGGGCGTGGACGTATGTGTTGGAAGCATAGAGCTCTTATTCTTGTTGTGGTATATTTTTGTTAGCCAAGGGCTATAACTGTTTGGGCCCGAGAGACCATTTTTGTATAACCAAGTTTAGGCCTTGGAATTTATAAGCCCTTGAAGACACTTATTTATTTATTTTTGGATTTGATGTTCCACGTGCTATAGATTCATGTATTTGATATCAATGAATGTATAATTTGTATGTGGGACTATTTTGTACAAACCTTAATGATCAATGATGTAAAAGTTGAAGAATTACATCCTTTCTTATAATGAACGTAGATTGATGCACCCATATGATGTTATAAATTTTGGGGCGTTACAGTAAAAGTCAAAAAGTTATTCTCAAACATATTAATTTTTTTTACACCATTTTTTAGTTAAAAAGTCAAAAAGTTACTGAAAAAACTTATTCCCAAATGAGACCTTAGTTATGAGATTTTGTTAGTATTAAGAGTATTGTTATGCAAGACCAAAAATTAGATTCACTTTTCAAGTTCAATAATGCAATAATCAATTAAAATATTAACGCTGTATTTTGTTGAGAGGTTTGGGGAGGGATTTGGAAAGGAAAATGGAAAAAGTATGTGAAACTAGGTGAAATATAGGCATGTTTTATTCATATTTCACCTATCTTTTCCATTTTCCTTTCCAAATCACTCCTCAAATCCCCCAACCAAACACAGTATAAATGTAATACTTTCTTTCATATCTTCTCTAATTATCAATTAATCATATCACTTATATATTATTTAATCTAGAAAATAGATTAAAAAACGAATTTGGTATATTATTTTCCTAATATTAATTATGAATGAAGAAAATCAAAGTCTGTCAAGTACAAACGTGGTAAGTAGGCATATAATACACATCTAAGAGGGTGGTTGTGGAAATATAAGAGCAGTACACATTATACATTGGAATACAAGTTGCATTGAGGGCGTG